TCGGGGTTCAGACTGAGTATCTTGATACCTCTGTATGTATTAGCTAGGCCTCTTGAAATAATTTCTATTTAAGTGAGCAAGGTCTGTGGTTAGTCTCAAAGGATTCCAGAGACTTCTTTTAAGTTCCCACTGAAGGCTGGGATTGCTTATTTGGGGTTGCTGGAGAAACTCTGGTCACTTTTTGCTGCCTGAACGCCAGCACCCTCACCCTGCCTACCTGCCTCCCTCAGAGCAAGGCCTCCCACACCATCTGTGCGCCTTAGTGTCTCCTCTGACTCTCTGAGTACAACAGCATGTTTTGTGCACAGTGAATTCCCCATCTGGGCCAAAAGCCACAAACAGACGTTTGTCTTTCTCTTCTGCTGTTGTCCTCCAGCTATTAGAAACCCATGGTTGCCTTTGGTCTGTTTTGCGTAGACTAGCCGAACCTCTTACCATTTAGCAATAACGTTCACTTAATTTATAGACAATAGTATAAATAATTGTAAAGGATAACAAAGCAACATTCCTATGCCTGTATTATTAGAACATAATTTTTAAAATTGTAAATAACTTTATCAAGATACATTTTAAAATAAAATGCACCCATTTAAAATGTACAGTTATTGGTAAATGTAGGCACCCATGTAACCAGCATCACAGTCAAGATACAGAATTTTATCATCACCCAAAACTAGAACATAATTTTTAAAGTCTCTTAGAGATCAAATGATACTTGGCTTGTCTAATCAAAACTCCTTTTTCAGGTGATGTGTCAATGGATGGAAAAATTCAGAAAAGATCTGTGTAGGTTCTGGAGCAGTGTTTTTCCAGTATTCTTTATGTTTCTGAATGTCATGGTGGTTGGAATTATAGGAGCAGCTATGGTAATAACCATCTTAAAGGTGCTCTTCCCAGTTTGTGAATACAAGTAAGTGTTGTTTTTGAAACAGCATTTTGTTTGTTGAGTGACAGCAAAGTGATGGTACAGAGCTCCCGAGGAGGGAGGGGACTGAGAGGGTTGCCCCAACATTAGTGTTTGTTTGTTTTTTAAGATTTTGTTTATTTGAGAGAGAGAGCAAGAGAGAGCAGAGCCGAGGGAGGGGCAGAGGGAGAGAGAGGAGCAGACTCCCCGCTGAGCAGGGAGCCCGATGCGGGGCTCAATCCCAGGACCCTGAGACATCATGACCTGAGCCAAAGGCAGACGCTTAACCATCTGAACCACCCAGGCGCCCCTTGATTTTTTTAACCATAAGAAATTATTTTATAAATGTAAAAGTGAATTTATTCTTAGCATTTTTACAAGTTAAACAGTCGGGGGCACCTGGTCAACTCACTTGGTGGAACATGCAGCTCATGATCTTGGGATCATTAGTGGGAGCACCAGGTTGGCAGTAGAGTTTACTTAGAAGAAAAAAAAAAGAAGTTAAATAGTCATTTTAGTAGTCTTGATAGAAGTAAATCTCACACAGTGAGCCACAGTTTTTGGCTTATATTGTACTATGTTGGAAAAGCCATAGGATTTATAGGAAAAAAGACCCAATTCAAACATTCACTCTTCCACTTGCTTGTCATAAGGTCTTTGAAACTCCCATTTCTTCATGTGTAACATTGAACTAATTCCTCCCTTAAAGGGTTTGTTAAAAGGCCATCATGCAAGCAGAGAGCCTGCGGAGTAAAGAAATATTAGTATCCCTCCCACTTTTAGTTTGGTTTCCCCTGAAGAATTCCCATTTTACCATTTCTTTCTGAAAATGAAAATTCTGGAACTTAATAGTTTCTTCCTCTTTCCTTTGACTTCCAGGAAGCTCAGGACCTTTTTTGAACTTTATTCTGTAAATCTGCCTAGGAAACCACTTTTTTTTATAGTTTTACCAAATGTTTTGTTACAGGCTTCTCTTTGGGAAGAGACGCAGTGTAAAATTAAAAACCAGATTTGCAGTATACTTTTATCAATGGCAGTTGTACTAAGGATACTTTCTGGTAGTAAAAGATTTCATCAGTACAGAAATATGGAGAGCAATTAAAATACCTCTTCATTTCCCTGAATCGGAACATTACCTTATTATAAATGAAATTCCCACATACATTCGTGTTATTTCTGGACTCTTCTTCACTGCTGTCTAGTGCTGTGCCAGTAGCATGGTTCTTTTTTTTTTTTTTTTAAAGATTTTATTTATTTGAGAGAGCGAGAATGAGAGAGAGAGAGAGAGAGCACATGAGAGAGGGGAGGGTCAGAGGGAGAACCAGACTCCCCGCTGAGCAGGGAGCCCGATGCGGGACCCGATCCCGGGACTCCAGGATCATGACCCGAGTCGAAGGCAGTCGCCCAACCAACTGAGCCACCCAGGCGCCCCAGTAGCATGGTTTTAATTACTGTACTGCTTTAAGAAAACCAGGCAACTGTCTCTTCTCCCCATTGTTCTTTTTAAAAAATGTTACAGCTATTCGTGGGGCCCCTGGGTGGCTCAGTCATTGAGCGTCTGCCTTCGGCTCAGGTCATGGTCCCAGGGTCCTGGGATCGAGCCCCGCATCGGGCTCCCTGCTCCGCGGGAAGCCTGCTTCTCCCTCTCCCACTCCCCCTGCTTGTGTGCCTGCTCTTGCTACCTCTGTCTCTATCAAATAAATAAAATCTTTAAAAAAATACATAAATAAAAAATGTTGCAGCTGTTCTTGCTATACTCCCTTGTGAACTTTTAGAATCAGCTTGGTCAGTTCTATAAACAACGAACTTCTGTTGACATCTTGATTGGGATGAGACTGATCTTCCAAAACAGGTCTTGGATCCAATCCAGAGACCTCCTCCTTGGTCAGATACTTAAGTAACAAAAGGGAAAATACTGCCTAAAGATCCTTGAGGTAGCCTTGTCATACTATCAAACTGTAGACAGAGGAAATATTTAATTTCTATTTTTCTATTTCAGAGGGATTCTTCAATTGGATAAAGTAAGTGTTATACCTGTCACAGCTATCAACTTATTTCCGGATAATCCTGAGAAAAGAGCAGAAAACCTTGAAGATAAAGCATGTGTTTAAAACACCATCTCAAATCATGGACTCTGAATTAGTCTTTTGGCTCTAAAATTTGCCACTTGAATAGAATTTTCTTTAATTCGCTAAGAATCTGTTTATACACTAGGGAAATTGCTGAACTCCTAAAACTGCCTAAAACTTGACCTTTAAGTGACAGGTTAAAGTTCACCTTACTCTAGAACAGGGCTGGCTATTCAGATGATGAATTAAGGGAAATTTAAATGAAGTAGAAGACATGAAGAAACTTCCAAAAAAAAAAAAAAAGGCAGGACAAAATGCCATGTGCCAATACTTTTCAAGGTGCCTTGTAAGGGAAATTCTATCCACTTAATTACTATAATATATGAGACTTTATGAAAAGCACTTTATGAAATTCTAATTTAAAAGCTCAAGAATTTAACATATTTTTTTATTCAGTAAAATGTGCCTTTATATTAAGTATGTGACTCAATATAAAATCACTGAAGTTTATCATTTGATTGTATCCTGTACCAAGACTACTTACCTGAATGCACCAGGATTTAAAAATAGTAGTGACATGTTTTCACTCTAAAATAAACTTTTTTTTTTTTGAGGAAACAGTATAGAGTTTTGGTATGAAGACATTTCCCAGGCAAGAACTGCTTCTATGTAAGAGCTCCTTTCACATACACTGGCTGAAACCAGGGCTCAGATCAGTTAAGGAGTCCATCCGTCAGTGTCCTGGAATTAGACCGTGCCCTTGTTCTCGTGGTTCTTAGTGCTATTTACCCTTCAACAGTGTTTGGTCTTTTTTTAACCATCACTCACACTGACATCTATTTTATGTGATCTAGTACTTAAAATACCTTTATTCCAAGTGGTAGATATTTCCTATTATTTTATTAATTTTTTATTGCAACCCATCATTTTAAAAATACCATTCAAGAAAGTAGTGACTGGTTTTTAAAACCACCTTAAGCAGGGAGGAGGGGAAAAAGTAAAACCCCCTTAGAGTTAGGCTAAACAGATATGTGTGTATGGGGGAAGGATGACAGTAGAGTGAAGGGGTGAGGTTTCATTTGCCTAGCTGTTTTTAATAAGGAATAACAGCCTGTGAAATACACTTTCTCCATATTATAGAAGAATAATAGCATGAGATTCAGTTTGATCCTCAAGTCGCCCAGCTAGTAACACTTTATGTCCTTCCTCTGTCAAGATGCTAGAAATCTCCAGTTCTAACTCCAAATAATGACAGGGTCTTATTGCATCCATTGAGTCTACAGAGGCTCTAGTGAGGAGAACCATGCAGGAGGCTATGTGGCCCATTGCAGAGTGTGGCCTTCACTGTCAGCAGGGTCCTGTCCGCCTTCCCTCCCTACCAGTGAGACCGGGACCGTGGCATGGTGCTCTTTTCTATGGTTAGGATGATGTAATAAGTTATTTTTTAAAAAATCCTAAATGGGCATCTTATCTGTAAGATTTTATACCATTAACTTTCATTTATTAACTTACAGTTGCACTATTATTTTCATTATGCTTTGTATCCGTGAGTGAATGGGTTCATGAGTTTCATTCATTAGAGCAGAGTGAGCAGCACTGGCTTACAAGCATCTGTTTGCCTACAGTGCAGCCTCATACGTAGGCAGAATAAGGTCAAGCAGGAGTGTGTATATATATGTATTTTTTTTCTTTTTAAGTGCATTATAAAATGACGGGTATTTAAAGCCCTCCCAGGAAGAGGAGGGAAGCTCCTGTAACCCCAAGCAGGAAGGCACAACGAGGGCATGGTTTGTGCATCAGCTGGCTACTTGTGTAAAAATGTTCAGGAATTTTCAGTTACCCACTGGCACCCAAGGAGCTAGAGCCAGTCTTACTCCCTAGAAGGAATGGCAGCTGGACCGTGGAAGGGAAGATGCTGTACTCAGAGGCGCATACAAAGACACTTCCAAGCTAAGTGATCGCACCTGTGCTGCAACACAGCGTGGTCAGAGAGAGAAATCAGGTAATACCCAAAACAGATTTGCTTTCAGCTTTAAAAAATTGCCTTTATTCAGAATCATACTTTTTTTTAAATCTTACCATTATCAAAGTTAAAAAAAAAAATAGCACTCAGTGCAATGAAATACTACATTTAATTATTACTCAAACACTTAAGGCAGGTTCTCACAGTTTACATGTGAGAATTTAGCATGATCCAAACTCAAATATCCACTTCTCATATCTCTCAATGTCTGCAGCAGAAACGGACTTAGAGACCTTTTTTAAAGCCATTTCAAAATCCTCCATAGTTGTAGGCATGTGCATTTCTTCTCTTGAAAGATTTCTGATTTCTTCTGGGGTCAAACCTTCAATACGCCTTCTCATTGCCATCAAGGATGCATCCCTAAGTTTTTAAATTAAAACACACAAAGTGTTATTTTGATTGAATAAAAACCCGTGAACAGAAAATCTTTTCAGTATGTGTTATTTTGTAATTATCCGACTACACATACTTAGTACTGCACAGAATCTTTTATCAGAACACAAGGCCTGTTTGGAGTTGTTTCTTAGCAGTTAAATCTTCCATGATGAATTAAGGATATTAATCAATTTAAATAACTGATACTGAGTAGGGAGCCCAAGAAAAAGTAAAGGTGTAATAAAGAAGCTAGCAATTGAATCACTGTAAGTGTCCAATAAAATGAAGACTGAACAACATCAGAGAGACAGGAGAGAACCAGAGAAAAACTATTTTCTGCACGTGTAGGAAAAACTAAATGATCAAGTTAGTATGTTTCAGCTTTCCCCTTGTATTAGTTTTGTCTTTTTGGTTTTTTTTGTTTTGTTTTTAAAAAGAAGAAACTTTACACTCAAGGACCTTTCCTTTCACCAAATTTCATCTTTAATAACAGGCACCATCTATGCAGAGGGACAGCCACCTGCAGCTGCTTTCCATTCACACACATTCTCACTGATGCCCACAACAAGCCTGTGTAGTATGCTTACTTCACAACGAGTACCTTGCTAATAAACATATGAACTAATACTCAGCTTAGGACAAAACCTACTTGAATCAACTGGATTAGAGACTGTCTTTTTTCTTTTTTACTCCTGTTCCTATCATATTTAGGACACTTGTACTGAAAGAGATTGTACTCTCCTGGAGTATGCCCAATCCATTTCACATTTCTTAATAAAAAGTACACTGAATAAGTAGACCCAACATTTTTTTAATCCAAGACAATTACTGATTTTCTGTATTATACCAATTGTTCTAATATTAGCTTCTTGAACTTGTAGCTTTCAAATGCACTGCAGACTGTTCAGTGACATGCAAGATACCCAAGTTCTTACCAGCACCTTACCACATAAAGTTCATACCAAAACTCGTGTCGCTGACTAGAGATTCTAATGTGGTCTTTATTCTTCACCCATCTTATTAATTCAGCACAAAAACTTCGTAACAGAAGTTTATACCCACAAAACCCTATGCTTTCAAAATAATTCATACCTGCACACATTGGTAATGTCCGCACCTGAATAACCTTCCATATTTTCTGCTATGCTTGCAAGGTCAACATCATCAGCCAATTCCAGTTCACGTAGACTTATTCGTAACAGCTCCTCCCTGCCTTTTGCTAATGATGGAAACAAATTTAAAAATGTAAGCCTTCAACATAAACATACCATTATTTTTTTCTCAAGTCTACTTTGTATGAGAAGTTGCTTTCCAATTCTTAGAGCTCATTTGCTTAAAAATTTAAGAGCCCTTCTAAATTTAAAATTTCCTGGTACCAGGTGACTCAGTCAGCTGAGTGTCTGCCTTCAGCTTGGGTCATGGTCTCGGGGTCCCGGCATCAAGCCCCGCGTCGGGATCCCTGCTTGGCGGGGAGTCTGCTTCTCCCTCTCCCCCTGCTTGTGTACTCACTCTCTGTCTCAAATAAATAATCTTAAAAAAAAATATTTCTGGTACCAAGGCTTTCAGGTTCTAGATATAGCCAAATCAGTTAATATAAGGAAAGACATCCTCCATCTGTCTCTTTAAAGGAAAATTAATTACTACCAAATTTTAAAATCTCTAAGCAAAACTACCTAAGACTTAACATGAGCTTTCAGACAAGATTCAAATGCAGATAACCTGATGGTAATGGAATATAGATTCTTTTTTCAAGACGTCGTCTTAATGCCTCATCAATATCCCAGGGAAAATTAGTAGCTGCCAGAACCATAACCATTTTGGAAGGGTCATCATTTTCAGAAGCACCTCCAACACCTAAAAAAAAGGGAGAGGAGAATATAAAAAGACAGGAAGTCAGAGTATAGAAAATAAAGCTCAACTACTTAAAAGATCATCACATATTTAGCACTAAATTGCAAAGTAGTGTAACTGTTAAGCTTCCCTAGGACTTCTAAAGCTAAATGGTACATATATGAATTTGTGGCCCAAGAAAAGTAAGTTTTAATATGCAAAAAAAAGGACTCAAAATAGATTTATTCAAAAGACCAGCTCAGCTTAACTACATAGCAATTTCTAAAATTTTTCAAAAACATACATATCCCTAAGGCAAATTTATTTGCATTTATTTCAGTTTCATTGCTGAACATAAGAAATCCGAGCATATGCCCATGAGTGCTCTGTGAACAGCCATTATTTCTGGCATGTCCCCACAGTCCGTGTCCCTAGTATACTGTCGATCTCCAGGACCTACTTGCCAGCCCTCTCTAGCTGGCAGGAGCTGTGTCGCTTAGCCCTAGGAGTAGAACTTAGTCAATGCACAGACACATGCATACCATCCATTTGAACCAGCAGCTCGGCTTTCACCCTTCTGCTTGCTTCGTGCTCTTCAGAAGTCCCTCTGCGACTACAAATGGAATCTATCTCATCGATAAATATGGTGGCTGGAGAGTAAAATCGAGCCTAAATAAAGAAACCATGTAACACCAGGTTTTTATTTCATTTAAAAAATAATCTACAGCAATTAGAAAAGAGCCCAGGAGCCTGCCACACCACATCTCTCTCTGGTCCTACTACTGGGAAAAGATAAACTGGAGCAGCTACAAGGCAGCTTCTAATGGAAACTTACCATAGACTTAAATATTATATGGCAGTACTTTAAAGGTGATATGTGTTTATTCATGAGTGATATAAATACAGAATTATCATGTATGCTACAACAATAAGGTCAACAATGGTGGGAAAATATTTATAGATATTGGTAAGTGTTCTACAGTTCTAGAAAAAAATTGGTTACAGAGAATCATTACCTTAAATAAAATCATATAGATTCCTTCTAAGAAATCCTACTTAAATTTGCCATTTTTCATTTGACATTGTCATTGACAATGACAATACAGTAACTAAAGAAGTTCATGGTTAATTTTTTTTATTTTTAAAGATTTATAGTGAGAGAGCACGAGTGACGGGAGGGACAGAGGGAGAGAGGGGGACAGAGAGGTAGAGAAGCAGACTCCCCCTCTGAGCACAGAGCCCAGCGTGGGGCTCAATCTCACAACCCTGAGATCATGACCTGAGCCAAAAATGGGAGAGTCGGACGCCTAACTGATTGAGTCGCCCAGGTGCCTGTACAGTTAATTATTTTTAAATGAAATATCCAATGAGGGCTGATTTCCTCGGGATTACCAATAAAGACAATAAAAACAAGGCTTAAGGCACTGATGGCTATAGCAGCCACCACACAAAATCAAAGCCAACCCACAGGTAAACAGAGAGGCAAAGGTCAAAGAGACATCCCCAAAAACGTCTGAATTGTTAGATCCTGCTAGGTCTAAAAAGCTGGCACATAACTTCTGAAAATTCCTACTTACATGACCCAATATATTATTCTTTTGGTTTAAACTTATCATCAGGTTTCTGATACTTGAAAATGAAAATTCTTGACAATACAACAAAAATTATACCATTAAATTTTGGTATGTGTTTGTTACCATGTCATGAGAAAAATCCTCGACAGACTTATATTTAAGTGGCATTATTTAAAATACAGCCCTTGAAAAAAAAAAAAAAAGAAAATACAGGCCTTGAGACATGTTTGCTTTGAGAGATTCTGGGGAATGGGGCTGGGCCCTTGGGGAGAGGCAAGTCATCTACAGAGCAGTTAAAACAAGATGGGAGACGCTGTACTTCACTCCTGGGGAGAGTCCATATGAGGAACAGGAAAAAAAATTAAGCCAGTTTTATTGAGTTTTAAATATGAGCCCTAATCAAAAGTTCCAAAGGCAGAAGTTCCAAACTGGCCTGTGACTGAGCCCCTACTCAGTAGTAAGCAACTCAAAGTCACAGACTCCAGAGAAGCAGGCATGTATTTAAAGATGGCTGACATGAGGGAAGCCGGTAAAAAATAAGCCGTTTGATATGCCTTCATAAACCTCACCATAAAAAATAATGTAAATTAGCACTCTGTGAGAGGCTTCCCCGCACAGAAGAAAATGGTCATTTTTCTTGAATATAAACTCTCCATTAGAAAATATATCAAATAATCCTGAAACAGAACAGCTAATATCTATTAGCCCCTGTGAGTCAGACTCTGTAGTAAGCAATTCACACGCATCAGCTCGTTTCACCATCTGAACATTACAGAGGTTATCACCTGTATTACGCTCATCCTCTTACAGAGAAAGCAACTGAGGATCAGGGAAGGAATTTGCCCACAGTTAGCCAGCTAAAAAAGTGACAACAGAGGGTCACCTGACCCTAAAGACTCCATACTTAGCCATTCGTTCTATTTACTTTACATTTTTAAAAAGCCTAGATATTCTGGAATCCTGGCAATAGAATTCTTTCTCCCCTGAAGCAAAGGGCAAACTAATTTTCCAAACTCATCTAAGAGGTTCTCCACTAGATTCCCCTACTGCAGTATAAACTACTGATAAACTATTAAGAACCTATTAGAATTTGCATCCTGCCATATGAATTGTCAAACTTGAAGGAGAAAATGGGAATTGAAACAGGAAGAAACCTTTACAGAAAATGAAAATGGATAACCTGAAATTGTACGGGTTTTCATTTGCTTGTTTTGTTTTATTCTGAGTCTAGGAAGTAAGATCTAGTATCGTATTAACATGGTCATCTAAGGTTTTGTCCACAATGGAGTCTTTAGAGTCACTGTCCATATAACAAGCATAACTCTGTCCTGATACATATAACTACACTATTTCTTAAATGAGGCAAGACTGAAACAATCAGTGAAGCTTACCAGGGTCTAAAGTCTAAAAATCTGTTGAAATTAATCCAAACACCCTAGTATGAACTTGTTGAATTATGATTCCTTCTACTGATACTCAGATTAGTGGGAGTTGAAGAAGGAAAAAAGGAACTCAAAGTAACAAGCAAAGGAGTAGCAATCCAAAGTCTGGATCATTAAACTCAAGGTATTCAGCATAGTTAATAGACTGCAGGTGATCTAAATTCCATAACTACTTGATTTTCACTGTTCCACATTACTGTCACAACACTGAATTTACCATATTATAAATAAGCCTACTGATTTAAAAAACATAGTAATTTCAAACTCCCAGAACAGATTAGGAATGATCCCATAATGTGAGCATGCCCATAAACCAAGACAGATGGCTCTTCCTCTAGAGGAAAGGAGACAGAAAAACTCCAACTACTCATGTGCTTCGAGGGCATGGGACTCACATTCTGGGTGCAGTGCCATCCTGCCTAGCTTTTCTACACACTGGAGATAGTTACAACTCACTTCCTCCCTGCTTAGAGGTAGAGCATCATCAGAGTGGTCTCAAACATTCACCATTTCGAACAGAAGACGAACAAGCTTCTCAGACTCCCCTCTGTATTTGGAAGTCAGAGTTGACGAAGACACGTTGAAGAACGTTGTCTTGCATTCCGTAGCTACTGCTTTAGCAAGGAGGGTCTTTCCTGTGCCAGGTGGGCCAACCATCAACACTCCCTGTAGGGAAAAGAATAACATAAGTGAAAGATTTACCTGCCACTGTTCTAATTCACAAGAATTCCATTCCATTACTAAGAATTAATTTTCAACTCATATAATATTAAGATAAATAAAAAATAAATAAAAGGATACTTTATCACCAAATTACTTTTTCATTATAAAAGAAAATCACATTATTAAAAATTTGGAACTCAGAAATGAGAAAAATAAATCAATGTTATAACAGTGACATTATAATAATCACACCCTAACACAGGTACCAATATTATTTGGGTATATTTCTGGCTAGTCTTTCGGTCAAACAAATTAGTTTTTTTGTTACAAAGTTGTACTCAAAGAATGTCCAGAATTTTGTAGCTTGCTTCTCACTTAATAAGTACAGAGTTAGCCATTGGCACATTTTCTAAATCCAAGGAAGTTTTTTTCAGTCTCTTTTCAGATCAGCTCACGACTTTTTTTAAAAAGTACCCATTTGAAAACAGTATGGAGGTTCCTCAAACAGTTGAAATTAGAGCTACCGTTCGATCCAGCAATTGCACTACTGGGTATTTACCCCAAAGATACAAATGTAGGGACCCGAAGGGGTACGTGTACCCCAATATTTATAGCAGCAATGTCCACAATAGCCAAACTGTGGAAAGAGCCAAGATGCCCATCGACAGATGAATGGATAAAGAAGATGTGGTATATATACACAATGGAATATTATGCAGCCATCAAAAGGAATGAGATCTTGCCATTTGCAACGACGTGGATGGAACTGGAGGGTGTTATGCTGAGTGAAATAAGTCAATCAGAGAAAGACATGTATCACATGACCTCACTGATATGAGGAATTCTTAATCTCAGGAAACAAACTGAGTGTTACTGGAGTGGTTGGGGGTGGGAGGGATGGGATGGCTGGGTGATAGACATTGGGGAGGGTATGTGCTACGGTGAGCGCTGTGAATTGTGCAAGACTGTTGAATCACAGATCTGTACTTCTGAAACAAATAACGCAACATATTTTAAGAAAAAAGGAAAAGAAGAAGATAACAGGAGAGGAAGAAAAGGGGAGTATGTCAGAGGGGGAGACGAACCATGAGAGATGATGGACTCTGAAAAACAAACTGAGGGTTCTAGAGGGTAGGGGGGTGGGGGGATGGGTTAGCCTGGTGATGGGTATTGAGGAGGGCACGTTTTGCATGGTGCACTGGGTGTTATGAACAAACAATGAATCATGGAACACTGCATCAAAAACTAATGATGTAATATATGGTGATTAACATAACAATAAAAAATTAAAAAAAAAATAAAAAGTACCCATTTGATGCAGGTCGGTCTCAATTTCTTAAGGACAACTGCAAGAAGTAGAGGATATAAGTTCTGTAGCAGATACACCAAATGGAGTTCTGCATTAGGCAACTTGTTCTTATTTACAAATACGAGCTCATTCTAAATCAACTTTCCAAGGGTCACACTATACCTATTATCCTGGGAGCCTTGCAATAAGCTTTTGGTCTAAATAAAATTTGGAGTAACATATCTTTTAATTTAGAATTTTCCTTAAAATAAAAATAAAATAAAATAAAATTTTCCTTACCTAATTCTTTCCTCTCACTCCCCTGAGTAAGATAAATACTGGTTTTCTATAGCAATGTACTTGCCATTCACTTTGACAATACCATTAACAACAATGAACTTACTTTCCATGGTCTCCTAATGCCCTTAAAGAATTCTGGCATCCACATTGGTAACACCACAGCTTCCTTAAGCAACTTTTTAGCTTCTACTAAGTCAGCAATATCATCCCTGAAAGAGGAGATATTTTATCAGTACCCTCTTAGATGATATATTTAACTGTATGCAGTCACCCTTACAAACCAAAGTGGCACGGCTTACACTGTCGCCAGACTGCGAAGCCCCTCCCTAGGTGCGGTGAGCCGGCACACTGTGATGAGGTCTGCCACACCAGCCAGTCTACATGGAGCACAACTGGAATCTTCAATTCTTGGCAATAATGATTTCCAACTTGGTGAATGAGACCACTGGTCTACAGGCACCCAAGTATTTATCATGCCGTCTCAATTTAAATTCCTGCCCCTGTGATGCTCATCCCATAAACTCCATGATTTAAAAACAATGAGCCCATTAAAAAAAAACAACAAAGTACAAAAAAGGACATAAAGCAGAGACAAGGCTACAATATTGCTGCCTTGCCCCCAACCCTACTAAGAGGTAGACACCAAGGATAAAGGGTATCATAGAGACTACTATGAAGTCATCACCAACCACTAGAAAACTCTTACTGCAAAAAAAAAGAAAACTCTTACTGCTACTACTATTACTGGTATATGTGGCATTTTCATGAAAATACATGTTCACTGTGTACCAAATACCAAAAAATATCTTTAAAATATCCCCAAAACCATACCTAAAAATCACTAAGATTTTTTTTTTAAAGGTTTTTTTTTTTTTATTTATTTGACAGAGAGAGACACAGCGAGAGAGGGAACACAAGCAGGGGGAGTAGAAGAGGGAGAAGCAGGCTTCCCGCCGAGCAGGGAGCCCGATGCAGGGCTTGATCCCAGGACTCTGGGATCATGACCTGAACCAAAGGCATATGCTTAACGACTGACCCATCCAGGCGCCCCTAAAAATCGTTAAGATTTTAATGAAAAATATTTAACAGAATGTGGGAAAAGGGGTCTCTTATTTTTTTAATTTTTTTTTGAAAGGGAGCTTTTAGAACTGAGTGATAATTACAGTTCTTCGATTAGATATAATAAATCAAGTTGAGAATCACTGCTCAAAGTCATAGAAAATAAAAGCAACATCCATGGGATAAACTATAGATAACAAGCAACAATGGGGCACCTGACTGGCTCAGTCAACAGAGCATTGCAACTCCTAATCTTGGTCGGGGTCGTGAGTTCAAGCCCCACTTCAAGCACAGAGCTTACATAAGAACAAAAACCAAAAGCAAACAATACACATGTGTAAGAATCCCTGCCACTTCACCATTAGAGGGTGTCCCCAAAAGAAGATGAAATTTCTGTGATCTTTGGAAGATTTTTTTTATTTAATAGAAACTTAGTATCATTTGTTACTTTATTAAATAAAAATCTCAGACAAGAATTTGGTATAGCCCAAACCAAGTGCTAGGTTCATATTGCATGCACTCTCGTTCCATTCCCAAGGACTGATCTTCAGTGCATTTACTGAAAAGAAATGGTTCCCTTTGCTTTTCCTAAAAGCATTATCAACACCCAATTATCTTGTTATGATACAACTTACCATCGAACATTGGGATTCTGAGAAATTATATCTCTTTCCAAAGCTTCTACTAAGTCCTTATCATATCCAGTACTATCAAATTTACTTGTCTCTGGGTCGGTAACTGCAGCAGGTGATTTGTTCTACATCGGGAGAAAAACACAAGAGCTTCTGATTGACTCAAAAATTATACTCAGAAACACAGACTGGACTCCAGTGATATTTTTCGAAGAGCTAATATAATAGTACAAGTAATGAGAGAGTCAAAGACTATTAAGTCATTGTTCTATACCAACATCAGAATGAGTTATTACAGTTTCATATTCAACTTTTACTTTTACATAAAAAGTATGACAAAATTGTTAAAGAAAAACAAAAATATTATGCATACGAATTGGTGAGATCAAAAAAATCAACACATCTCACTGTGGTTACTGGTGAATATCAGGCATGTGTGGTATTTATCTCAAAACTTTAGAGGAGATAAGGTTAAAGACAGATGGTTTACATAGCAAAGATTACAGCTCACTTTTTTTTTTAAAGGTTTAATTAATTTATTTGAGAGTGAGAGTGCACACGTTGAGTTGAGGGAAGAGCAGAAGGAAAGGCAAAGAATCTCAAGCAAACTCCACGCTGAGCACAGAGTCCCATGCAGGGCTCCATCTCACAACCCCGAGGTTGTAACCTGAGCCAAAACCAAAAGTCAGACGCTTAACCGACTGAGCCACCCAGGTGTCCCATCTACGGCTCACTCTTAACTACCTACCCAGCCCTCATCAATTCTCCTAAAATTTTGCTTTTCACTGTTCCCACCCCACTCCAAGAGACTTCTCAGTTCCCCAGTGCAATTCCCTCCCACCCTCTGTGACAGCAACCTTTAGGGCCACAATTCCTAAGCTCTGTACTAAAGTACTCCAGGGTACAATGGCAAACTGACAGAGCACTGCAGGATATTTTACATTTTTAAGTGAAACCCAGCATTATCTGTTGAACACTGGGAGAATTATCAGCTCCAGGTAGTTCCGTTTCTACATTAAAACTGCTACATTCCTGGGCATCTGGGTGGCTCAGTCGTTAAGCATCTGCCTTCAGCTCAGGTCATGATCCCAGGGTCCTGGGATCGAGCCCCACATCAGGCTCCCTGCTCAGTGGGAAGCCTGCTTCTCTCTCTCCTGCTCCCCTTGCTTGTGTTCTCTCTCTCGCCGTGTCTCTCTCTGTCAAATAAATAAGTAAAATCTTTAAAACAAAAAACAAAAAACCCTGCTACATTCCTTTCAATAATGCCATATTTTTGTGAAGCTGGGTTTCTGGCAGTTTCTGTGATAAAAGAAATAGTGGGAAAAATCAAGGTGAAAGAGGAATCAGAGTGAAATATCCACTCTGCCTCCAAAGTCTGAGAAACTGAGCAGTGCCCAACATGCACTGTTAGGACACAGCAAAGTTGTCTGAACCTAACTTCTTCACCAATGGATGGGTATTCTTTTGGTCCTTGAGGTGCTGTGAAAACATACAGACACTCATGAATTTTATAAGGCAAGAAAATTTATGAAGCTCTGCATTAGGGTAAACATTTACTTGGTCTTGTACTAGAATTCTTACCCTGTCTCATTAACATTGTTTTGCCCATACATATTTCTTTGTCAGTGGTGCTATCTAAAGTAGGTATTAACATCTACGCTTAACCAATATTTATATATTCAAAAGTCTTAAACTAGATGGTCAAAAAAGCATCTTACAATATACATATTCACTATCCAATACGAACATAAAAAATTCAAGGGAGGTACTGTGCAGCCTTTAGGAGAAGGCTGGGGCACCTGGCTGGCTCAGACAGAAGAGCATGAGACTCTTGATCTCAGGGTCGTGAGTTCAAGCCCCACGTTGGGTGTAGACATTACTTAAAAAAACACACAAACAACTTTAAAAAAAAAAATAAATAAGGGGCGCCTGGGTGGCTCAGTCAGTAAACAATAAAACAAAGAACTAGGTCCTTGAAAACATGAATGAAACTGACAAACCTCTAGCAACACTGAAAATGAAAAAAACAGACAACACCTATTAGTAAAGTCAAGAATGACCTACAGGGGCGCCTGGGTGGCTCAGTTGGTTAAGCATCTGCCTCCAGCTCAGGTCATGATCCCAGGGTCCTGGGATCGAGTCCCACATTGGGCTCCCTGCTTGGCGGGAAGCCTGCTTCTCCCTCTCCCACTCCCCCTGCTTGTGTTCCCTCTCTTGCTGTCTCTCTGTCAAATAAATAAA